TCCCTGCATCCCTGGGATGAGCCCCAGTTGGTCAGGGTGTATGATCTTCTTGATGATCTGCATTCTATTTGCCAGTATCTTGTTAAGGATTTTTACATCTATGTTCATTAGTGAGATTGGCCTATAGTTGTCTTTTTTCTTTGGGCCTTTCTCTGCTTTGGAGATCAAGGTGATGCTTGCTTCCAGGAATGAATTTGAGAATATTGCTTCTCTTTTAATTTCATTGAAAATTTTAAACAGTAGTGGGAATAGTTCTTCTCTAAATGTCTTGTAGAATTCAGCAGAGAAGCCATCTGGGCCTGGGCTTTTATTGGTTTGTAAGTTTTTAATTACATTTTCAATTTCATTGATTGATATTGGGTAGTTTAGAATTTTTAGGTCTTTTTTGTTCGACTTTGGTAGTTCATACATATCTAGGAATTTGTCTATTTCTTCTGTGTTTTACATCTTATTGGCGTATAGGTTCTCAAAGTCAGTATTGATGATCCTCTGGATTTCTACTGGGTCGGTTTTGGTTTTTTTCCCCATTAAGTTTATTGGTACATTTTAGGTATAAAATACATTTACATACATCATTGGGATCTTGAACCATTACATGAGCAGCTCAAGTTTTGTTTTGTTTTGTTTTTAGGTACTGGGGATCGAACTCAGATCCTTGTGCTTGCGAGGCTGGCAACAGAACCACTGAGCTAAATCCCTGTTGGGTCAGTTTTAATTCCACCCTTTTCATTCCTAATTGCATGGATTTGAGTCTTTTCTTTCCTTTTTTTGATAAGGTTGCCTAAGAGTTTGTCCATTTTGTTTATTCTTTCAAAGAACAAACTCTTAGCTTTATAATTTTTTTGTATCATTCTCTTAGTCACCGTTGCATTGAGTTTTGCTCTGATCTTTATAATTTCCTCCTTTGTGTGACCTTTGTTCTGCTCTTCTTTTTCTAGAAGTCTGATATTCTGCATCAAGTTGTTTATTTGAGCTCACTCTGTTTTCCTAATATGAGAATTTACTGCTATGAATTTCCCTTTTAAGACTGCTTTCATTGTGTCCCGTAGATTCTGATATGTTGTATTGACATTGTCATTTAATTGTAGAAACTGTCTGATTTCTTCTTTAATTTGCTCTGTGCCCCATTGGTTATTCATAAGTGTGCTGTTCAGTTTCCATGTGTTTATTAAATTCTTGTGGTTTCTTTTTCTATTGATCTCCAATTTCATGATAATATACAGGGGATAACTTCAATTCCTTTGCACTAACTTAAACATTTTCTATAATCAAGTATGTGGTCTCCTTTGGAGAAAGACCCATGTGCAGCCAAAATGGATGTGTATTCTGCTTTTGTGGGTGGAACACTGTGTAAATATCTGTTACATTCATTTGTTCAAGAATTTGAGTTCTAGTATTTCATTGTTTATTTTCTGTCTAGTTAATCTATTTGTGAGAGTAGGTTATTGAGGTCCTCCACTACTATTGTGTTAGTGCTTATTTGATTTTTCATGTCCATTAGTATTTGTTTTATATAGTTGGGTTAACTAGTACTTGGTGCATATGTATTTATGATTGTCATCTCTTCCTCTTGAATTGTTCCCTTTACAAGGATGTAGTGTCTTTCTTTGCCCTTCTTAATCAGCGTTGGTTTGAAATCCACTTGGTCTGCAAAGAGAATGGCTACTCCTGCCCTTTTTTTGGTTTTCTGTTGCATGGAATATTGTTTTTCACCCTTTAACTTTCAGACTATTGGTTTCTGTTTGAATTACATGTGTTTCTTATATGCAGCATGTTGTTGGATCTTGCTTCTTGACCCATTCTATCAGTCTATTTTTTTACTGTTGAATTAAGGTTGTTAACATTGATGGTTATAACTGATATGTATTGACTTATCTTTTCATGACTTGTTCTTTTTGTTGGATTCTCCCCCTCTGCATTTAATTTCTTGTCATGCCAGATGGATTCATTCTGCTGGGCTTCCTAGGGTTGTGATCCTCATTGTCTTTTCCTAGGATATTGTTTAGAATCATATGGAGTGCTGGTTTGGTATTCATGAAGTTCCTAAGGTGCTCTTTGTCATGAAAGTATCTTATTTCTCCATCATTTTTGAAAGATAGTTTTGCAGGGTACATCAATCTGGGTTGGAGGCTATTTTTCTTTAGGGCTTGGAATACATCACTCCAAGCTCTTCTTGCCTTGAGAATTTGCATTGAGAAGTCTACTGTGATTCTGATGGGCTTTCCTTTGTATGTGATTTGTTTCTTTTCTCTAACTGCTTGCAGAATTTTGTTCTTCTGTTCAGTTTCTGGAATTTTAATTATTATATGCCTAGGTGTAGAATTTTTTTTTTTTATCTTGGCTAGTTGGAGTCCTTTTTGCCTCACTTATCTGTATGTTAAGTTCTTTTCCCCTGCTTGAGAAGTTTTCTGCCATTACTTTTGTGAACATGTTTTTAATGTCATTTACACTCTTCCCCTGTTTCTTCATTGACTGCAAATCAGTCTTATGTTATTCTTCTTTGCATTGTCTAGCAGCTGCTGGATTGATTTCTCATGGTCTCTTACTATTTTTAAGAAATTTTCCTTTTCCTGGTCACTAATTGCAATCCTGTCTTCTATATCTGAAATTCTGTCCTCACATTGGCTCATTCTGTTGCATAAACTTTCAATGGAGTTTTTAATCTGGAAATGTGCTTACATCTGTTTTATGGATTCCATTTGTTTCCTATGTTGGGATTCCATCAAGTTCCTCAGCTCCTCTATTTTCTTTTATCTGTGTCTGCTCTAGATTTATTAATCATGTCTTGCACTATGAACACAATTTCTGAGAAATTATTTCTGATTTCATTTTTTTGAGATCTTCTTTCATTGCCAGTTCAGGGAGTCCAGGTGGTTGAGTATCATATTGTTCCATCTATTTGGCCTTTAGGGTTGCCTTAGGTGATCTGGAAGTCTGGTTTTGAAAGTTTTTACATGTCTTCTCAATTCAACAGATGCAGCCTTACACTTTTTTTGAGGCAACTTTTTGCTCATCCAGTGATCTTCAACTCTCAGCAAGCCACCAAGTTGTCTTTTCTCTGCTGCTCACCACTGCATCAATTCCTGGGTTCATGGTGGTGGCATTCTGGATCCCTGCACTGTCCTGATATCTGGGTGGGGTTATGACTGGGGCCCAAGTTTGCATCCCAGTCACTGGTGTCTGGGCAGCTTTTGGCTAGGGCCTGCATGTACTTACCAATGGTATTTTCTTGGGCCTCTGCCTATTGCTTGTGCAGCTGTTTTCCAGGTGGGTCTTTGGCTGGGGCCTGTGGGCCCAAGTGGCCAGGGGTGGCATGGTCCCTGGCTGGACCTGCCTGCAGCCCCCTGCTCTGGTCCACACTGACTTGTCCCAAAGTCTGACTCTTAATAGATACTCCAAATATGGTGACGGCTTTTCATTTGACTATAGTTTCAATTCAATTGACTAATTACTAGCTGACTCTTGATTGTATTAGTATGATTCACAAAAAGCATCACTTTTCATACTCAGTGTTAATTCAGAATTGCATAAGTGTTTCTAGTTGCTTGGGGGAAATTGAGTAACAGGTAGGATCTTTCACTCAAGAAATTTAAAATCTAATAAATGAAAAATTGACAAAGGCTTATTGCCATAAGATCAGTCAGGAAAGTTTACTGAATCAACCAGAGCTGGTGTTAGGGTTTTGAGAATGATTGTAATGGTGAGTGAAAAGAAGTAACCTCAGTCAGCTAGACTTGATTGCCAATCAGTAAGTTTCATTAAATGGGCATCCAGAGCAGTGGTCTTCAAACTGTTTTGTATGCTCTCTCCAAAAATAATTTTTAAAAGCTGTATACCTGCTTCCATTTTTACTGCCAATATGGACATAGCAAAATCAACTGCCATTGAGGGGGTACCACACAGACACAATTTGCTACACTAATTAACTAAGAGTGCTTCAGGTGGGACCAAAACCAATGACTTATTAGGAAAAAAGGAATTTGGGTTTGTCCTTTTAAATTCAAGGATGATGAAAATACAGTGAACATTTATTGTGTGCCTGCCATGTGCCAGACCTTATTCTAAACACTTTGTATGTTTAATTTCATTTAATGTTCTCAAAAACATTATAAGGTAAGTATTAGAATTCTCCTCATTGTATTCCCAAGTGCTTGAATAACAGGGAAGCAAGCCTTACACTAGACATCGGGCTTTAGAGCCCCTGTCCACAGCCTTGAAATTCTCCAAAGCTCTTCAAAGGCAAAGACTGCCTCTTCTCCATGTGGCCATCAGAACAGCTTTTGCCTGGAAGATTACAGTAGACTTGGGTCTGCTGTCTCTGGAAATCTCTATACTCCATACAGACAGGGTCTCTAGCTCTCTAGGCAGGGCCTCCAAGTATGTGTAGGATGTGCTGTAGGGGCAGTCAGCATGCTGAGCATCTCCAGGCTGGATTTGTGGAGCTGGAGAAGTCATATCTCAAAATGGGCAATGTAGCAATATCATACAATCATCAGAATGTCCCTGACTCAACCATCTAAGTGTGTCACTAGACTTTTATACTTAGTAATTCTCTGTTCCTTTTGGGATGTAAGACATCATCCAGAGATAAATCTGACCTGAGACAGAAGAAAAAAATAAAGGAAAAGATGAGAGAGAGAGAGAGAGAGAGAGAGAGAGAGAGATGGCTGCTCTTTGTCAGTTTCAAACTAACTTAAGGTAGAACCAAGTTCTTTTTGAAGCAAAAACTACACAGTCACAGCTGTTACTGGGGGGAAAAGTAAGTTTAGAGAACTAAATGCTCTTCCTTGTAAGTTTTCATTATTATTGCCTTTGGGCCAAATTCTCTCATTAGTTTCAAATAAATGTTTTCCATCATGAGCAAGAAAGGTTTTATACAAATTCCATTTCCCAGAACCCTGTGGATGAAATGGAAACTCCCTTTTCTGGTGTGGTAGCAAAACAAACCCTTCAAACCTGCCCTCTATTTTTCCTAAGTACACTCTGGGTTTGCTAGGTGGCGCCACAGGCAAATGCACAGGTCCATCTGCTCCCCTGGTGGCCGCAGTCTGTGGGAGGATAGGAATGAGAAGGAAGAAGACTTCAGCTCTTGCTGTTCCCTTCCAGAGTGGAAATCACAAGATCAGTGGGCAGGAGGTGAGATCCATTTGCTTTTGGTGTCTGTCCTTTGATCACTGCTGGGAGTGAAGGGGGTTCTTGGCCCTGTGCTTTGGTTATTCTTGAGAAAAATTCTGGGGATCTTAAAGTTGATCCTAAATCTTGTATTTTGCTTTGTCTGAGTCTTTCCAGGATATGTTCAGAATTTGGGGAGGAAAGCCCAAGAAGGAAAGGAATTTGAAGGTTTGTACCACCTCCCTTGAAGTCTCCCAATGAGACACCCTTCATCCTCCCTGCAATTCCAAGCCAGTGGTGTGGAGGAACAGAAGGTCTGCTTGGAGCAATGAGTGGCACAGGGTCCAGGCATCCATGTGGCTTGGAGAACACCAGGGAACTTACTGATTCTTTTTAAAAAAGTAAAAAGATATTTATTGATAGGAAAGCTCTTGAAGAGCAGGAGGGGGTCCTGAGTGAGTAGCCCGGGGACTTACTGATTTAAAAGAATCCCCTTCCCACCCTTCCAGAGGCCTAGAGTTCCCAAATTAGTGACTTGTGTTAAAGCTTTAAAGACTCTCCTTAAAATGTAGATGTAATGGGAAAGGTTTAATTGGAAAAGTTGGAGGATAAACCCATTGCAAAATAGCACTGTTCGGAGAGCTCCAGGAAAGAGCCTGTCCTGGCAGGGCTGGATGGCTGGATAAGGAAGAGGCAGGTAGGAAAGAGAGAACTGCTTCCCTTGCTTGGTGTTTGGGCAGGATACCGGCTTCCTCTTCTCTTTGGAACCTTGGAGTCAGATGCCAGCCTGTGAGTGCCAAGTCTGTGTGTCCAGGATAATCCTGGATTCAAATGTTATCTGGTGCATCTGTAAGCACTCACGTGTTTGTCTGCTTACGTGTCCTGGTTTGGGTTCAGACACATTCTTCCCTCTTCCCACCTTCCCCTGAAATCTACTTCATGTCTGAAGACAGCCCTGATGGTGGACTTTTGTCTTTGTTGAGGACATAGGACTAAAAGGGAGCCTCAGGCAGAAGAAAGGTCACCTACATATGTTCCAGGATGGAGACTTCTCAACATCCAAATGAGCACAGGGCCAGAGACAGAAGAGAATGCCACTAACATCTCAGGGCAGAGAGCACACTCCAAGAAGAAAATACTTTACAAAAGAAATATATATTTGATATATAATATATAATATATGATATATAATATATATATATCAAAATGGGAAGGAGGATAAAGTTTGAAAAAAAATTGCCAAACACACACACACACACACACACACACAGAGGTAGATACTCACAAGAAGACAAGGAGAAGCACAAAACCCCCAAAGTACAGGGAGAATAAAAATATACATCTGTGCATTTTTGTGTCTACAATGTGTTTACTTCTTTGCAAACAAAGACATTTGTTCGAGCAATTGTAGGAATTTCTGTGAGGTTATGTCCATCTCAATGATCTATTTCAGCCTTGAGGAATTTACCGGCCCTTCATACATTTATCTCTGTCACAGCAATGATGCGTTCTTTGCAGTAAACATCAGTAAACTTAAGTACCATGAGTCATATTTTCAATTTTAATTAAATCATGGTCTAGCTGGAGTTTGATTTATTTCAACTCAAATTAATTTAGGCCCTGGTCCACATAAATTTACATAGTTTACTTAACACAGCTCATGCTGGTACAGATCGTAAAATCACTTGTATAGATATAGTACATATTGTAAAACCATTCTTCTATCAAGCAGAATGGTAGGAAATAATTTCTAAGGGCAATGCTAACTTTAATCTTAAAACAGCATCATGAAGGAAATCTGCTTTATTCCTAACTGAAGACAGTTATGGAAACATCTAGACATATTGCATTCCATATGTCTTCACTGCAAGAGTTTTAGTGATATGACAAAACTCCATTAAGAATAAGTAGTGCTAATGTGTGGGGCTTTTTTTCCTCTCTCTTTCCCAGAATGGTTAGAGAAAATCGTAAATTCATACAGTAAGCATCCAGGAAAACTCATCTGCCTCATTTGAATATACTGAATACTGTTTAAACAGCAGAAGCTCGAGTCATACCCATATCACGTTCTTACAGTTCTGATAAAAACACATTATATTAATTAATGTACCCAAGAAAGGGTCACAGCTTACAGGAAATAAAGTGGAATGTGACAGAAGAAAGGGAGCGCAGAGTGATCTGGCTACGGATATTTGGAGTAGTGAACTAACCACAAAGATAGTCAATAATGCTGTACATTTAAACTCATATTTGACCAGATTGGAAATTCAGGGAGATGGAAAGGTGGAAAGAAGGGATGAATGAAGGAGATGCTGGCTGGAGGGCTGGGAGTGAGAGGAGAAGGGCCAGGGAAGGGCGGTGAAGCCTGTTCTGCTGCTGCTGCAGTCTGAAGTCCAGCTGCTTTTGTGATGCGTCATGGCTATTAAATAGGTTGAGTGAGTATAACTGACTCAGTTCATGACTCAATTGAATCTGCAGCCTATAGTAGAGCATCTCAGAAGGCCTGGAGGGGAAAATGAGTCACATTCATCTTCAGCAAAGGTGCGATAAAATGTGCTTTGTGAGGAGAAAGCCTGCCCTCTTCCCTGCTTCTGCTGGAGTTGAGTGTAGATTTGTAGACACCTGCCATCTGTGACCAGGGGAGTGGGCTAGGCTGAGGGACCCCAAGGCTGGCCAGTGTGGGATCATCAGGCTGCCTTTTCCTTTCCCGGGTCATGCTTTACACCAGGTGACAGTCCCAGCAGGGCCACCCACACCAGCCAGACACAAGATCCAACACAGGATTATTTTTTGACATGAGTGATTTGATGAGTAAGAAACATTTTCAGAGGTTTAAAAATCAAATCCAATTTTCATTACATGTTTAATGAACTTATTTGTCAGAGAGAAGTCAGTATTCTTCCAGGAAATCTGGGAAGAATGAGTGTCCTACTTCTAGCAATTCCTGAAAATTCTCATGTATCATTCATGTTCTTGGAAGGAGGGGCGGTGAAGCCCTTTGTTGGTTGGTAATACCAGAAGCATAGCTCTATTTGTCTCAAGAAAGTATACTGAAATTCTTTTCAAAGTCATTTTGATGTGCTTTATTTCATTTTCATGGGGGACAGAGGAGGGGAAGGAATGACTGTTGTGTAATTCAATACAACTTCCAGAATTGCAAATCCCTAAAGGTTGGGGCAATTTTGACTGGCCCTGAGGAACCTGGAAGCATCAGCAGAATCCTCTTCCCTGCTGTGTGCCTGGCAAGGGCACAGATGACTCCATTGTGCATGTGATGTGATAAGAAGAAGAACTAGGTTTCGGTGATAATCTGAGTACCCTCTGCCAATCTATCAGCAAATACTGGAAAGTCCCATATGCATGTGATATTGTTTTTACGAAAATGATGGCTTTACTGAGTGGATGTAATACGCCAAGAAAAGTTGAGTCATGTTTACAATGTGTCATAGGAGTCAAGACTTGTGTTCAAACCCAGCTCCGCAACTAACTAGCTGCCAGGGAATGGACAAGTCAGGTTATTTTTCTGAGTCTTTGCTTCCCAGGAGGACTAAGCCTTTTTATCACTGAAAGCTCACTCAGCTCTCAACTACTTTCCAAGTCTTCTCATTTTCTTTTATTACAGTTTAAATATATTCTCACAAGGAAATGAAAGACAAATAATTGATTTTCCCCCCAAATCTCTTACTGTCATTTGTAGCATATACATATACACACACACACACACACACACACACACATATATATATATACATATACATACATATATATATATATACACACACACACACATATATATTATGTAAGGGTGGGTAATGGGGGATGAATATGATCAAAACACATTATATGCATTGAACCTGCACCCCAAAATGTAAAACTAAGGAAAGGATAAGTTGGTGGAGGCTATGGGGCATGCAAATGATCAAAATATGTTTTCTGGATATATGAATCTGCCAAAGTGAAACTCATTAATTTGTATAACCAATATGCACTAAAAAGAAAGATATGAAACAAAATGCATACATGTATTTGGGGGGGCAAGGACATTACCCACATGCTTTCTGGTATAATCTGAATTTTTTAATGATACAGTCTTGGCTTTGACCTTTGGGGATCCATGTGGACACAGAGCCATTGGCCTTGATAAGTACATATTAAAGAGTAGACATATCATCCTTGAAGTTAAGTTGCCAGTAATCTAACAGAAAAGGCAAAAATAACTGGAATATGCATCTAATTTAGATCTGTCTAAGAAAGAGTTTTAAGAGGACAAGTACTGTAAGGATAGTTGGAGAATGGAAGATGTTGGTAAAGAAAGTTGATAGGAGCTAGCCCAGGCCCCTAGCTGGGAGGATGTGTTTGGTGGGCAGATGCCTCTGCCATGAAGCCTGGCTGGTGGTTTCTTTCACTGAACATGGAAAGGAGGGAAGAATGATATTTTCCATTAGGGTTATTATTTGCACATATATACTTGATGGCCCAGGAATCCAATGAACAGCTGCTGCCATGTCCTGTCCTGATGAAAGTAAACACTTTCTTATTTTGTTTTGGATCCCAAACTCTCTCAGCCCTCCTGAATTTCATATGTAGTCCTTGAAAGGGCTTCTTGCCCAAGGATTCTGTGCCAGCTTCACAAGACATGAGAGGGGATGATGAAATGAAGTCATTTCCTGTGTTCTTATACCACCTTAGGTGCAAACACCCACCGCCTGGACCTGTGTGCATACACATGTGTGTTTGAGCATATGTTATGTGTGTTTCTGGACATGTGATTTGCAGAGGTTGCACATGGCACTGCTTGGATCTTAGGAGGGTACCTGTGGTCGTTATTCTGTTTGTCAACTTGGAAGGTACTTCCAGATGAGATTAACATTAAAAGTGATGAAAAGCAAGAAAATTGTCCTCTATAATGAGGATAGGCTGCAGACAATGGAAGTTGAGGGCTAAAATGGAACAAAAAGACTGGAACAAAATGACAGGGCTCCACAAGCAACAGGAGATTCCTCAGCAGACTTCCTTCAGACTTC